ATTGTACTTGGTATTATTAGTAAGGTGTATTCACAGTAATGAGTGAACTAATGCTTCTATGAGATTTGAACTATTACTACCCAGTGTCACATTTAGAAGCTTTACCATGACTGGGTTATTCAGTCTGTGGGAGATCTCCTTTAAGTACTAACATATTTACGGTGTTTGATAGCTAAGTATTAGATTTAATCAAATTTTATGGATTCAGTTGAAATGTGGTTGCCTGTCCAAATGATTCAACGTTGTGAGCATTATATCATGATGTTAGGCAGGTTGGTTGGACGTAAGCTATATGTATCCATGTATACAAACTTCATGCTAAGGTCTGACCAAATAAGAGACTTGACAAACAAGGTACTGGTTATTCACAGTTCACAATCATAAATATACCCTGCAAGAGGGCAGTTTTACATTTACCAGACATCATTCGAGCCTTTACATGGCCTGAACCGCACCCCTTTTATCATGTGGCGAAACTATAACAAGAATCTTGTTGGGTCAGTTATTGGTTACTACTCCGCGATTAATCAATATATGCAGATACTTGACACAATACACTGCATTGTACTATTAACTAATAATCTACATGAGTTGAATAAATTAGTTAAGCAAACGATCTACTAAGAAGAGTTACATTTTGGAAGTTCTAATCCAATATCCCTTATAAGAAATTCGAATTGATTTTGGTAAGTGATTACTAATACTGTAATGTATTTACACCTATTTGACGAGTTCCGGATTAGGATGAAACATGGACTTTTGATTCAATTGTTAGCCACAATTCAAATTTACTATCGGTTGTTTGACGTGTTGTAGTCTTTCAGTTTTGATGTTGGCATACACGCTTCCTGTACGCAATCTCGAAGTACTATGTGAAAGAAGATTTCGGATTAATAGCAGAGAAACTAAATAAACAAAGAGGATCTGATACAGACGTGAAGGCATTGATTGTGAAAGCAAGAAAAGCATTCCTAAAATTGAGGAACATATGAAACACAAAACAACTGTCTATCAGCCAACATAAGTCTAAATTTGTCATACAAACCTCAACACAGTTCTATTGTATGGAGCTGAGACTTAAAGAACTACTACAACCATCACCAAAAATGTAAAAATATTTATAAATAGGTGTCAACGAAAAATAATCCAGATCCGTTGACCGGATACCATCAGCAACAACCTACTATAAGAGAGAATAAACCATCTTTCAGTTGAATAGGAAATTAGGAAAAGACGCTGGATATCTATATTGTGATTAGGTCGTCTGTTTAATATACCTATTGGCCTTCAGGCAGCAAATGAACACAGGCACGTGATTTATCTGGATTTGCCAGTGCATGAAATCGTTACTGTAGTACCAAATCTGTTATTGGTTATATCACCATGACAGGTTGAATGGAATGACCAGTAATTACAGACCAGCATAATGAAGATAAAATATATAACTATCCACTGCTAGTAATACTATCCAACAAATCATGTGAATTCATAGTCATAAAGTATGTAATAAAGTCTGAAACTGTTCATTATGTCCATAACTTAAATACGAACAAAAGTCTTCAGAAGGGCGGTTACTATGCTAAGTCCCCATAGCTTATTTTGGGTTATAAACAAGCCAATTTATTCCTTCTTCTTGAGTAACATTTTTACCCCATCACCTATTCACTTATCAACCTTGACTGTTGTTATATGAGCGTATGTGCGTGGGTGTGCACTTCTTATCCTAATCATCACATGTCTGTAACTTATTTTTGTGTGACTATAATTAGTGATTAACGCCTGATTAAATCTTGTTGCCTTACATGCCATCTCCACTGCACGTTACTATGCTTCGCTCTCACCTCCTTGCTTCGGTTCTCCGCTTGTTTGTCTAGATCAACGATTGGATGAGATATACGTATTTGAAATTCATTTTCGTTATTGACTTATTTACTTCCGTTATTCGCTAACACGAGTTAAGTCGATCATTTTATACGATGATAGATGATATGTATATGTCAATAGCAATCTAGTTGGAGTCAGATTTAGGGTCACTAAAGTAGATTAGTTAACATTTCTGGAACAATAAACTACTGAAGATTGTGTGTTTTTTTAAAATCGACATAGGTCTTGATAATTAATCTAATAGAAATCTGTTCAATTGAGTACATATGTGGAGGTGTGTTACTCAAAGAAATGAATTCTCTGAATGAAATCATTTAACTCTAACAGTGACAAGATTTTGATAAGAAAGTGTTAAGAAAAAACTTTCGCGGATTGGTTGAGGTTAGACATTAACACCGTTGGATGCCGACTCAGTGGTCTTCAGGTTAAGCGTTTACGCGCGAGGCCCTGGGTTCGAATGCCGCAGGCGGGATCGTGGATGCGCTCTGCTGAGGAGTCCCACAATAGGATGAAACAGCCGTCCAGTGCTTTCAGGTTTTCAATGGTGATCTAACATCAGTGGGCTGATGATCTCAACCAAACACTTATTATATTTTGTAGGTTTACACCATAGACTGATTTTAATTAGACAAACATTCAAAATCAGGAAATATTGAACACCTGTTTTGTTCTAGCATGGAACCTCATAGCAGCAGGTATCCCAAATCCATCAAGGATTGGACCTAGAACTTCTAGGTGTAATGAAGAGTTAACTAATGTGTTATCATCTAATGGTTTATATTTATGAACTTCAGTTGATTCATGAGATATTGCATGACCATCATCTATCAGATTTCAGTGATATGTATTTCACATCAGAGGTGTATGAACTCCAATAATTATGGCTTCTTACTTAGACTCCAAGCGATGCCTGTCAACATCAGTCACTAGTAGAGATATAATGAGTATTTAAGTCATGGTTATACTTCAATAGCAAACCAATAAGGTTTAATGTAATACCTAGCGGATTTTTGTACGAAGTTCTAAACCTGATGACGCGTAGCTCATATCAACAAAACCTAACAATAATTAGTTACAAAAACATAGAAAATTGAAATAAACATGAGAAGACTATGATTTATGAAATTTTATAGATAACCTTAACGTTCCTGAGATTTAAAATCCAACATACAACTTGGTATCCTTCAATAAATCTGTATATTAATGGAAGTAGGTTGCGAAAAGTCGAAGTTTTATCAAGTCATTCAGTCAGTCAACAACGCACGTGCGTAAATCAGTTCAAGTTACCATGTCATATTAGCGCAGAGATACAATTGCCAATTCAAATCCCATGGTGATAGAGCTAGTAAATGTATAAGCAGTAATCGGAAAGATGTTATTCAAGGAGTATAATCCAGTGAAATAAATTTGTAAAGAGAAAAAATAAGGGACTTGAATTCAGAAAATTAGAATTTAAGAGAACAAAAAGAGTGGATGCACCTGCACCATTGCAAACAATTTAGGCCGCATAACTCAAGGTCGTTAGCCACCGGCTGCTATCGTCTCGTGGATCCCAACCAGGTAGTGTATACCTACCAACATGGTTCATTCCACTTGTTAGTGACTTCATGCATTTGTGTCATGTTTTTGTCTGGCCACCCCTAGCTTTCTTCCAACCTACTTTTACACCACTGAACATCACACGTCTTGGTAGTCGGTGGTTGGGCATACGTAACACATGTCCCGGCCATCTCAACTGACGAAGTTTCACTACTTCATCAATTGATTTGCCATCCTTACCTTGTACCCGTTTCCTAATAACTGCATTACTTACTCTGTGATCCCAAGATATACGAACAATGCTTCGAAGACACCTATGATCAAATACTAGTAACGTACGAATATCCTCTACTCTTACCGACCATGTTTCACAGCCATAAAGTAGGACAGAAAGAACTGCTGCGCAGTAAATACGTCCTTTGGTTGATAGACGGATATCTCGCCTACGCCATAAATGACGCAAGTTGGCAAAAGCTAGTCGAGTCTTCTGTATCCGTGCTGAGACTTCGTCACACACCAGACCACAAGGACTGATGAGACTCCCAAGATAAGTGAAGCGGTGGACACGTTCAACTACTTCATTCCCTATCATTAGTCCGGGTGTCAATGCAACCCAATCCTGAAGCAACATTTTGCATTTCGAGGGGGAGAATCGCATGCCGAACATGCTTGCATTGTTTCTCAGAGTGATCAGAAGACTTTGTATTTTGTCAGCATCTTCACCAAATAGAACTATGTCATCAGCATATTCTAAGTCAACAAGTGAATCTTCCGGTAGAAGTTCAACTCCTGGAAATTTAGATGAGGAATGTGTTATCACTAAAAGCACGTCAATGACAAAGTTAAACAAGAATGGAGAGAGTGGACAGCCTTGACGAACACCACTTGATGTAATCAATTCTGATGACGGTTCGCCATAAGCTCTCACTCGGCCAATCGTGTTCGAGTAGAGAGCCTGTATAAGGTTAATGTACTTCTTTGGTACTCCTTTCAGTGACAAACATTGCCATAGAACCTTACGACCAACCGAGTCGAATTCTACCTTAAGATCGAGAAATACTACGATTGTGGGCCGTCTGAATGTGTGTCTATGTTCTAGGACCTGACGTAGAGTGAATAAAGGCAAGTTGCCTAAGGGCTTGCCTCAAATGCGCATTTCAATAATATAATAACGATAATATCATTGATATATTAACGATGTTTCATAAATCAATAGGGAATGTAAAAAGGGGTTTACATTAATTGGATTTTCACAACTCACCTTTATTCATGTTCCCCGCTCCCCCTTATTGATAAATAGTCATTTTGTGCAAGCACCCTATATTTCGATGAACCTTTTAAATCGATTTCTAACCAATTGCTAGAAATTCTATATCTTAACATTAACTTTGAGTTGGAAGGTTTAGTCTTGGAGTATTCATTGTTCTTCTGAACAACAACATCATGATCATTATTAGTATAAACTTCAAATAGAAAGCTTCATGATCAAAATCATCCAGTTTAGAGAACAAAACTCATCACTCATCTGAACTTTACCATTTCAGAATTTCATTATTACGCCTAAATAATAGACTTACCTGATCTATTAATCCTATAAAAGGAATCATGATGATTGATTTGATTATATCCATTGAGTGCTTGTAGATTAGTAGTTATCCAAGCATTATTATTATTATTATTATTATTATTATTATTATTATTATTATTATTACGTAACCATATAGAAATATGTGAATGATTATTCACTAATAGTGAGTGAATTTCAATTGTATTACATAAGATGAGAAGAATCAAGTTGATGAAGATGAATAGATCCATTCAATAGAATGACATATACATATATGTATATGTACATAGATTATGAAAACATGACAATGTACTTGAAACTTGACAATATAAACAAACAAATAATCAATAAAATTGAATTTATTCCACTTAGATACAAATAAATGTTCACCTATAGTTTCCTATACTTTCAAATAATCCTCCTTTACTCTTTATTACCTAGTTTATGTATGTTTTGTTTTGTTTTTTTCAGTCAAATCGGTCTGGCTTATAATGAGAACACACTTCATAAATCAATAATCTTTGTTATTGTTCAATTTAGCCTGTAAACATGAATTTAATCAATATCTAATAATTGTAGGGAGAAAAGGCTTATAATCAAACCATCTTTCATGTGCTATGACAACTAATTCAAGTTCCCATAAAGATAAGAAGAAAAGAAAAGACAATTACGTGGATCCATTCTATAAAGATTGTTATGATTTAATAGATTTGAAGTTGATCAATTCATTTAGGGTTATAATGATCTGATAATAGATTATGTCACTTTACAATGTAGATTTATACAAATCAAGTAAGTCTATCCTATTACATAACATAATATCCGGGATAATTCATAAAAGGATAATGAACTCGATCTCTAATATCACTTCTATGTTACATGGATCAGATTTGTCAGGTTGATAAGATTAATATTGATTATTTGTATGACGTAACTTTATGCCTTGTGTACCTAATGTACCTTAATGTATCAGACAGAGAATGACCTTCAGCCACATTGGACTCAATTCATTTATCCAATCAGATTATTGCCTACTTGTTACAGACCAGATTATAAAAGTAACCAATCAGAATTTAATGTGGCTTCATTTTCTGACCACGTGACAGTGATGCATTTTTTTTAATATCAAATTGTTGAATTCATAAGTTGACCATTATGGAAAACCTGAACGGTCATTTCGTCCTAGTATGAGACTCTTTATGGTGGTCTAACTTTAATCGACACATCAATAGAACTATTAAATTACTACAGTATCCACATCAATCCCATTTCGATAATAATCATCATGCGCTGCTCATTAGTAACTAGTTTCATGAGGTATTTCCTAGGGTTCTAGTGACAAGCTGTGACCAGTGGAGTTCAACCGCATCTGTCGTGACATAGTAACACATTGATAACAATCGTGGATGTGTGACTCAATTTCGTGGATTAGATACCGTTGAATACCAGCTCAGTGGTTTAGAGGTTAAGCGTTCGTGTGTGAAGCCAAAGGTCTTAGATTCAAATCACACCATTGGGATCGTTGATGCAAACTTCTGAGGAGTCCCATACTAAGACTAAAAGGCTGTTCAGTGTTTCCAGCTTTTCCATAGTGACCTAGCTTTAATCGACTAGTGAATTCAACTGTTAAATTAATACAATCTCCACAAACCCCTTTCTGACAATAATTATTCTGAATCTAAGACGAAATTTGGGTAAAGAACGCACATTTTTAAAGTAAAAACAGAACGGAATGTATTTTTTAAAGCTTGTTAATAAGTGTTTGATATACGTATTTACTTACGCTTTTTACCCCTCGTCAAGGAGCATAGGCCATCCACCAACATTCTCCATCCAACTCTGCCCCGAACAATTCTTCCCAGTTTCCATTCATCCATTCCATGTCTGCTTCCAATTCCCGATGTAGTGTGTTCTATAATATTCCTCTTTTTCATTTCCCTTCAAGATTTCAAGTTAGTACTTGCTTCATGGTGCACTTTGATGATTTCTGTGGTGTATGTATTATCCACTCCCATCGTCTTTTTCCTAATTTCATTTTCAACTGGAAGTTAGTTTGTCCTCTCCTGCAAGTTTCAAACATGGATAAGAAGTGCACATTCATACGTTCATATGAAAACAGTCAAGGTTGATAAGTGAATAAGTGACTGGATAAAAATGTTACCCAAGAAGAATGAATAAATTGGCTTGTCCGGAAGCCGAAATAAGTTATGCAGACTTAACATAGCAACCGACACTACAAATCGTATTGAGGACAATCAGTCTCACGCACGAACTGTTAACCTCTAGACCAGTGAGCCTGGACCCAGTGGTATAGAAGTCCAAGTTAGATACGTCCATCTCTGTTTACAATGATTTTGACTTAAAGTAACATCGAGGCGATCCACATAGAGTGCATATATGCCAATTAGAAACCGATCAACTGAAGTCCTAAACATCAATGGGAAAATTCAAACAATGAATACAAAAAGGAATTAAAATTCACCCCATTGTACAAGCTAGTGGCTATCAGGACTCAGTAGCTAAACGAATAACGCGCTGATGATTGAAGCAAATGGTACTGGGTTCAAGTCCCAGAGTCAACATCAACTCTGGAATGTGGGTGAATCCGTCTGATGAGTTCCAAAGCAGGACGAAACGCGTGTCCTGGATACCACTTCTAGCCACCATCCATCTCAGGACAGAGTAGGTTGGAGAATACTGGTCGGCGGCCTATGCTCCATCAGAAGTAACAGGCGTATGTTATATGTTGTATGTTATATCCGGTGAGACTGTAATTTATGAACTACCATTGGGGGATGCTAAAGTGATCTCGAGAACGTCCACCAGATAACTAGGATCAAATGAGGATTATAAACCAGTGTCTGAAGAATTCGAATTATGATTTACAGTTGATGATTAAGGTTAGGAATCAGATTTAGGGTTTTTATTACGAACTGATATCAGCTATAATGCCAAAACTGGCGAGACTATAATTTATGGATGAACCAATCAGATTCAGGATGACAGGTCTCAGATTTTGGCACGAAATTGAGTCATCCATTTGGCTAAATAGAGTCTTGGTATTACAGCTAATGTCATTTCGTGATGAAAACCTTAAATCTAATTCCTAACTGTAACCATCAACTGTAATTCATAATTCTAATTCCTCGTAGAGGTTTATAATTTTCGTTTAGTCCTAATTGTTAGGTGAACACTCTTAAGGTCATTTGAGCGTCTCTCAAAGGTCATCCATAAATTGTAGTCTCACCCCAAAACTCTATTTAACCAAATAGATGAGTGAATTTCGCGCAAAAACCCCAGACGTGTTATCTTATACCTGATTTTTTCATTAAATTATGAGTTAATTGAAGCTAGACCATCTGGAAGCACTGGACGGCCGTTTCGTCCTGGTATGTGACTCCTCGGCAGTGAGCACCCACGATCCCGCGCCCCACAAGATTCGAACTCAGAACCTATCAGTCTCGCGCCAGGCTCTTAACCAACTAGACCACTGAGCCAGCATCCAATGGTGTTAATGTCTAACTTCAACCAATCCACGAATTTGCGCGACCATCTTTCATTGTACTGAGGTAGACACCTGTTTCTACCCTACACGATTAGCTCCATTGGTCATGGCTTCTCACCAGAACTCCTGATTGGCTCATCCATGAATTATAGTGTCATCTTATTTCCTATTTCATGGTGAGATGAGGTTTCAAATAAATAATTATCATAGTGGAAGCTGAGATTAATGTTCTGGATTCAACTGCAGGGCTAGAAGGACAAAGAACCAATAAAGACTACTCATATCGGTCGATACGTCATTGTTATGACACAATGCTAAGACTGTCTATGTCATATTCCGATTAATGAATAAGTCACATGATAATTAGCCGGTCACAACAGTGTTCAAGTACAGTCTGCTTCATGTTTACATTGGTTAAATGTACTATGTGTATACATTGTGGGTATGTAGAATGATAGATGAATAGGGTGAGAGTTAGTTAAAGTGTTTTTTATTTATGTAGATATGATATTTGCTTACATTTTATCCAAATTAGTTTAAACACACATTTCTGGTTTCAGATAAACAAAGAAGACTGGAAAAAAATGTCAGAACAATAACTTTCCTCTTCTTCTTCTCCCTGTACAGTATACAATACAAATGTACTTAAATCATATTATGAATAACAATGGTCTATTTGGGAATTATATGTTAATCATAGAGATTAAATTTGAAAGAGATTTCTGTTAGATATGAGTATTTTGTATAATTGAAAAGTTACAATAAAACGGTAATGGAAGATGGCCCCCAAATGCACTTTTTACGGATGAGGATGGGGAGAGTCAGCTCTCTATCTCCAAATGCTCTCATATGGCAACGTCCATACAACCACTAACAGGGAAGTCCCACTCACTGCCTTCTCGCACAACGGGTGTTGTTTGCGAATTTGAGAGGACGAAAAGCGAATTTCCGGTGCTTTAAATGGGTTGGTAGACATGGAGAGTCCACCTAGAGAAGTTGGAAGACCCTAATTCAAAACCAACGGTTCCAAGATCCTGAGGGAATAGTAGGTGTATGAACATATCGTTGGTCACCGTCTACCATGAGACCGCATCTCCCAACGTTGCTCCACTGCTTTGCGGATTGGACCTTTAGTTCAAAGACTCCGGGTGTTCCTTCCCTTTCCCTAAGAAAACCACCTGGTTCATTTTGGGCACCCGGTCAGTATCCCAGCCTTCACAATAATCGAACGTTTTGTGTGGTGCATTTGTAATTGGTGCTTCCTTGTATCAATGTTTATGTGTCTAAATAAATAAAATAAATAATAGATGATCGCGAGATTTGGTGGATTGGTCAAAGTTAGACGTTAACACCACTGGATGCCGACTCAGTGGTCTAGAGGTTTAGCGTTCGCGCGCGAGACCTAAGGTTCTGAGTTCGTTTGCGACATATGGAGTCGTGGGTGTTCACTACTGATGAATCTCATTATAAGATAAAACAGTCGTCTAGTGCTTCTAGGTTCTTGGTGGTGATCTAGCATTGATCGGTTCATGAATTCAATGAAATAAGGAAGAGAATTTCGACGTTTCAATGAAGAAAATGTTTTTTTGGACGATGGTGTTTTTTAAACTATACAGTCGTAATTACGTATAATTTTACCACATGTACTCTATAATGAAATATAATGTCCAAATGTCTGGTGTTATTATTTTCACCACTAATTTAATGCACAATTTGAATTTTATTGCAATGCCGAATGAATCATGT